TAAAAAAAAAAAAAAAAAAAGACTGACAACTCAGAAATAATGAAATTTTGGAGCAAATACCATTTTGTATTCGGTTTGTGAAACTGAGTAAAGGAAACCTCATTTAAATGGAGTTGCAAGGCCAGAAGGGGAAGTTCTCATGCCATGCCACTCTTTGCAGCCCAGCCCTGGGCCAAATAGGAGGAAGCCTATGCTTTACTAGCGAAGCAGGGGGAAGATTTTCTCCTAGACACGGCAGCCCAGCCAGTGAGACACTGTCACAACTCAATCAATGAGAAGCCACCACACTGCAAACTCCCAGTTCACTCCAATGGACTTTTTGTTTATAACAGCCCCTCCCAACTGCTCCCTTTCCTCTACAAAAAAGCATTCCTCTCCTTTGTTCTCTGGGCTTACCTACGGTTTTGCTGTAGCTTGCATGTCCTGAATTGCGATTCTCTGTTATTACTGAATAAACCCATTTTGCTGGTGAAATAACTGGCTGTTTTATTTTTAAGGTTAACAGATTCTACTCTGAACAGTAAAAACAAAATATTTTAAGGGGTTGAGCCGTTGATTTTTCAAAAAAATATGCTAAAACATATACTTGCAATTTTATATAGCAAGAACCCTATGCATTCCAGATACACACTCACTTACACACACACACACACGCGCGCGCGCGCGCACATTCAGACAAGTGGGGAAAAGCAGGATCCGCCAGTCTACCACTGGGAAACCTATATGGGGCAGGATCTGAACCCCACTTGCCCTTGTGGACTGCCAGGGAGCATAGTACATATGGTTGGAGCCCAAACTAGAGAACTGCCCATCAGGATCAGGGCTGTAGCGTTCATTTAGAGGAAAGGAAACTAGAAAGGTCACAGCCAGGGAGCTGCAGGAAAAGAATAATATAAGACTTCCTGGGTCTTTCATGGCCTTAGGAAACAGGTAAAGATAACCTAAAATAGAGTAGGGAAGTGGTAGCCAGAGCAAGGTTTGAGGGAGAGGCATCATAAATTGCAGGGGGCTTGCCAAGCCTCAGATGGAGACTGCCCTAAAGCAACACAGCTCATGTGTGGTGATGATGTGACCAGAGCAGCCTAAGAATAGAAGGAAGTTCTAACATTTATTTTTTTTTTTTTTTAAGATTTTATTTATTTATTTGACAGAGAGACACAGCGAGAGAGGGAACACAAGCAGGGGGAGTGGGAGAGGGAGAAGCA